CAGGGAAGCTTAGCTGTGAAAGAAGCAGTGGTAACTCTGATGAATAAGCAGCTGAGGACCAAGCAGCAGCAGCACCACCAGGATGTGGTAGGGACAGCAGATGGCAATGTTCTCCCTCCTGAAAAGCCACATAAGTCTTCTGATGGTGGTGTGACACAGCAAGTACAGGTCACCACTATAATAAATCTGTCTAGCCCCCAGCCATGGGTCTACAAGTCTTTAGCAGCAGAGCAGGTGGAAGATGTTAGAATCTCAGTGGCTGTGAGGCCAGATGAAGGCCGCAACGGAACAAGATCACCAACTGTCTTGGCCTCCTTGCCGTTGGATCAAGGTCTCATTCTGTCAAGAACGCTGTGGAAGCTGATGTGCAGGAGCTTCTCCATAACAAAAGAAATCATGTACAGGCATCTTCCATGAAAACAGCTATAGCACATTGTTCAGGCTTTTCAGCAACCCACTAGCGATGAAAGGAGCAGGATTGAGAGGCCTGGAAGCTCCTGGTCATGAACTGGCATGAAGGCACCAGTTACAAGAAGGTCATCTAAGCACTTGGACGAGGCAGGTGTGTGATTTGGAAGTCCTCGAGGCCAACTTGAAGAAATGCAACATGGACATCAACTTGTGGGAGACCACTGCCCAGGACTATCCCAAATGGAGGAAGAGTCTGCTGCAAGAGTCTCTGTACTTTGAAACCTCACAACGACAACAGGAGATGGAAAAGCGGGAGTGGCAGAAACAGCGTATCGTGGACTGAACCAAGAATCCAGAGCCACCCACTCTGCATAGAAACACATACCGGAGTTGCAATACACACATGCACACACGTGGTTTGTGTGTGTACAGACACACACACACACAAGGCATGAGTATATATGTGATATTACATATTATATATACAAATGCACACACGGAGTATAAATAGTACAGGTATGTATATGTTTGTATATATGTGTGTTTATAAATGCACACAGAGACTGTATACACCAACCAATGTGTGCACATGCGTATGCATACGTAGATGCATATAGATACATACACACTCACGTGTGCAGTGTGTATACAGCACAACTATATATACACATATATATGTTTAGATGTGTGTATGTGTATTACTTGTGCTACACACATACGATTTATGTGTAGACACACACAGAGTATATACGTACAGACTGACCAATGTGTGCATGTGTGTAGGTATACATATAGATACACACACACTTGCATGTGCAGTGTGTGTATAGCACAAGTATATATACACATATACTATATATTTAGATGTGTGTATGTGTATTACTTGTGCTGCACACATGATTTGTGTGTGTATAGACACACACACAGTATATATGTATAGACTGACCAAGGTGTATGTGTATACATAGATACATACACACACACTTGCGTGTGCAGTGTGTAGAGCACAAGTGTATATATACACATATAGTATATATTCATATGTGTGTACGTGTATTACTTGTGCTACACACACACACACACACACACACAATTAATATGTGTATAAACCGACCAATGTGTGCATCAGTGTGGGCATGTACCTGATACATGTGTTCCTGGCCCAAAACACACACACAGTGTGTGTGTATAGCACAAGTACACACATACATACGGTATATATTGATGCGTGTATGTGAACGACTTGTGCCGCACACACACACAGTTATATTGATGTGCGTGTATGTGAACGACTTGTGCCGCACACACCCACAGGTGTGCGTGTACAGACGGACTCACGTGCGCATGTGTACGTGTGCAGAGAGACACACGCAAGCAGGCCCACGCACGGTGCGTGTACAGCACAAGTCTGTCCCGGCCGGTCCCTTCCTGCAGCCGAGCCCGACGCTCCCTCCCGCTCCCGCTCCCTGCGCTCGGGCCCCGGCCCCGGCCCCGGCGCCGCGCCTGCCCTCACCGTGTCCTCCTCGTCCATGGCCGCGGCGCCCCGGCCTAGCTGC